GGAAGGGGTAGTAAATAAAGACTCGGAGCAACTTGACTTTGGTTCTAGATAGAATTGGGGTCAATGAAAATTGCTAGACTATTTATATAAACCCCTGTTTATAAAAATTTGTTCAACAATATAGTATTTGCCTTCCTAGAAATCTTGTGGTCTGATGAAGTTACAAAGTATTTAGAATGCTTGTAAACTATCAAGCCCTTCTTCTTGGGTTCAGACTCAATGCTACCAATGAGAAAAGCCCTCAAGTGTAGATGGCACTCTTTTAACAATCTATAGTAGTTGTTAAATGGACTAACTAGTTCGTTGATTTACTACATTAGATTTCAGGGCCGTCCTGTGAATATTCAGTTTTCCATGCTAATTGTCCTCATAATGAGTATTTGAGGATTTATATTGGAAAGGAACTAAGCCATGATAGGTATACAGCAGGCACTGAATACATACTATGGTTTTGTTATGCTCTCTCCTGGGTAGTAGCATTATTTTCTGCTTTGCAGATGAATTCCAGAGGAAGAGCATGTGCCCAGGAAGGAGCTTAGCTTAGGAGCCTGGTTTTTGTAAATAAGGTTTTATTGGAACACAGCTCTGCCAAACATTTACATATTGTCTATGGCTGCTTTCTTACTAAGACAGCAGGAGAACCAACTAGTTGTGACAGAAAGCAAATGCCAACAAAGCCTGAAATAGTTATTACCTGGCCCTTTACAGAGAAAGTTTGCTGAGTCCCATTCTAGACTCCAATGCTCTGCTGTCCAATAATGTACCCATTAGCTGCATATAGCAGCTGAGTGTTGAGATGTGGCTGACGGAACTGAGATGTGTTATATGTGGAAAACACACACAAGATCCCAAAGGCTTAGTAAAAAGAAAGAGAGAGAGAGAAAGAGAGAGAGGAATGCAAAAAGCTCATCAGTTTTTAACTATTGATCACATGTTGAAATAATATTTTGGAGACTGAGTTGGGTAAAATAAATTATTAAAATTAATTTTACCTGTTCCTTTTCACATTTTTTAAGATGACTATTAGAATATTTGAAATGTGACTTGCATTTGTGGCTCACATCAGTTCTAGTGACAGTTCTGGTTTAGAACCTCGAATGTGAAGGATATATGACCAGTAGAAAAAGGTAGAAAGAGGGAAGGTGGGGAAAGAGAAAAAAAATATCTTGTATTTGCATATATCTTTCAAAAGCAATAAAATCTTCTATTAATTTGGCTATTTCTCATAAGAGGGAATACTTAAAAATAATGGACTAGGTTGTCAATAACAAGGTTTTAGTTGAGTTCTCCCAGAAGAAGACCCTGACTCAGAATTCAAACTCGGAGATTATCTGGGAAGCATCTGTCAGGTAGAAGGGAACCTGGGCAGGGAAGGGAAGGGAAGAGGGTGTTTTCATGAACAGGTTCTTGCTGTGGGCACCTGGGCTCCTCCCAGTAGAGCTCTCTGGGAGATTTGAGGGAACAGGACTCAGACTGATCCTATCTGGCAGGTGAGGAACCTGGGCTGTTCATCTACCAACTGCCAGTAGTTGCTGGTTGAGGGCTGCTCCCAGGGGCATCAGCCTCCCCTTGTTCTCTCCCCAGCATGTCCTGCCTGGGGCCAGATAAAGCCCTGGAGCTGAAAGGAATCCTTATTTGCAGCAAAGAGCCATCAGCCAGCTTGAGATCAGTGACTACCTGAAGCATGAGGTTGGGCCCTATAGTGCCTGGTACTAACACCAAACTGAATGTTTTATCTTGTAATCCATGAATTCAACAAACATATGTGGAGTCCCTGGTGTATGTATTCATTTTCTCCTCTGATCTTAACAATAACACAGATAAGTAGATTTATCATTATCTACACATCATGGATGAGAAAACTCAGTCCAAGGGTCATTTGTCCAGGAGAATTCAGCTGGGATGGTAATTCCAGTGTCCTCACTCCACATGGGTGGTCATTTATGCCTGACTCCTTGGATATCCACAAAGCTCAGCTCCATAAGGAGATGTAAATATATGATCTTGAAGTGAGAACAGGAAACTCAAACTTTTGGGGGGGTTGGGGTACTCCTTAGATATCCATAGGGAAGTAGATACTTATATCCACTTAGTTCCAAGACTCTTATGCCGAAAAGTATTCTATTTTGCCAAAGCACAGTCAAAATCAAGAGGTTATAGGACCTGCTGACCCCCACACAAGATGTTAGTAATACAGCTAAATTCTAGAAAACTCCACAGAAGTCCCTGTAGTGGAAGCTTATGGATGCATGGTTCATTGAGGACTGGATTTTGTTACCTTCCCATTACCCACGCTCTCTTCAAAAGTGTTGTCAGTCCCTTTGGTATTTCTTGGAAACAGTCTCTCTCCCAGCTTCATTTCCCTTTATTATACCTCTAACTGACTGGGTAATTCTTTGCGGACATCAGTAACACTTGTACTATTTAAATTTGAATAACCCCAAAGGATCTAGATAGGTCAATATGTTTAAACCACAGGCTTTCGTCTATATATTAGTTGATTAAAAACAGATTTTATACATGATGTATGCTTAATCAAGGGAGGAGGAAGCAAGCAGATGTTTGTAAAATCTAAATGTGTTAGACTATATTTATTTGGCTCTCTTTCTGACTAGCTTTAGAAAAGTCATACCTATGACAATTGAACTGTAAACAGTTGGATGATGTGTTTCCCTAGAAATTTCCTGCCCCGAAGGGTCAGCCAAAAAGAAAAGTAAAAGGATTCCCTAAGATTGACATAAGAAAAGAAGTTGACAAATATACCATAAAGTAATCATATTTAATAATGGAGTGCCTCAAAATTATGCTCTAGTCTCTGACCATAAAGTGACTAATGGTTGCCATTCATTTAATCCAAGCAGTAGGAAAACTTTGGCTTTTGTTGTTGCTGTTAGTAAGAGCTTTGAAAGCAAGTGTTGTTTTTTTTTGATGCAAACATGAAATCATTAAGTTGCACCTAAATTACTCTGTCTGGTTCATTCTCCAAATTTTTGTTGTATCTCATCCTTTGAGAAATGATCATTTTTTTTCTGCTTTAAAATATTTATAATTGAGACACTTTGAGTGTTTCAAAGCCAAAAATGAAAGATTTTGTATCGGTTTTCCAGTCCAGGTAAAATATGCACAAAACCTTCCTCTGAATTCTGAACACATGAGAATTATAGATGAAATCTATTAAATGGATTTTAAAGAAGAATAACCAAGCTTAAACATAAGTGGAAAGTCTCCAAAGACCAGAAGTGAAAGAAAATGCAAAGTGGTGAAGGGAGGCTGAAGCTGGGCTGCTCAAAAGAAGTAGAGATGAGCTGGGGCAGCGAGGACCTGAGGGGACACATGGTGGAGTGTATCCTGTACATGGCAGGAGCCTCAGACCGCCCTGTACACCTGGAGGTCAGAATACCCCATGCACACTCTAGGCTCAAAGGGTACCCTCCCACTTTCTCAAGGAAGGCGAGGCACTGAGTCAAACCAGCATCTGTTCCTCTATGGCACGTGGGTGTCTTGTGGGAATGCCCCCTCTGGGGAAACAACCTCAAGCCCTAGCAATAGAGTGGGCATCTCACCCAGCTGGGCTGTGACAATCCCTAAATCACAGCACAAGGAACAAAGCTCACATCAGATGAGCTGTGAGACAAAAACTGTAAGACACTAGATGAAATCAGATTCTTGGGAAACGTTATACAAACACAGGAAAATATGAATTGCCTTTTCTCAAAAGAGCTTAAGAATAAGTATGTTAGTTCTCTTAAAATTATGAAGGTGGGAATTGCTTCCTGGGAACATGAACAGAAAGTAATCCAACAAGATGATGTGATAAAGAACCTACTGGAAATGAAAAATGTGATCATTGAAATTTAAAAAATTTGTTAATAGGATAAACACCAGATTAGTAAGCATACGTTGCCTGGCCGAGTGGCTCAGTTGGTTGGAGTGTTGTCCCATACACCAAAAAGGTGGGGGTTTGATCCCGGTCAGGGCGAGGATGGGAGGCAAATAATTGATGTTTTGCTCTCACCAAAAACTCCGTTCATCTTTCCAGCCTCAGAGGAAAGACTGTGTTCTCTTGGAAACCTTCTCCAGGCAGCCCTGATTACAGCATCTCTCCCCCAATTGCTTAGCCTCCTCCTTATGGACAGGGAGGACATATTTTTATTTCTGTTTCCCCCATATCTCTCTCAGCCTGGCATATAGTGGAAGCTCATTACGTACTTGTATGAATGGATAAGTACATTAATGAATGGTATAAATAAATAGCATGCAGAATGAGAAGCAATGGAGAACTTTTAATGAATCTTACTCAGAAGAGAAGTTTATTGTGGTTGAAAATGAGATTTAATAATCATTGTGGGGAACTTGAAAGTTGATGTTCTAAAGGAATAGACAATAATTCTAGATTCTTGAGGATAGTGATCTAAGAAATACAGCATTCAAGGAAATTTGATCTGGCATTGATAGGTTGATAGGCAAAAAATAAAAGCATGGACAGTAAAAGGTACTAAGAGTGAGTAAACTTCTTAGAAATGCCTATAAAAATGGCCATAATGTCAGCAAAAGCTGGACAATTCATACCTTCCTCCAACGGGTTGGCCTCAGCCTGCCCACAAGATGGTAAATTCTAAAAATCCAATAGTAGTTGATCTGACGTGGGAATACATTCTTTATATTATTGCCATTTCTTATTCAGATAAAGGAATAGAAATTCAATGACCTCCCTTCTGCCTAGTTCACAACCTAAAAATAACCTATAACTAATCATTCAGTTAATTATTCCTGAGTTAATGGAAGAAGCAGGAACCAAAAGAATGAAATTGGAACATTTTTAAGAGTTCTTTTAAATGCGACTTTTCAAAATTCAGTTTAAATCTATAAATACTTAAAGCTGCATAGACCTCATTGAGGTTTCTGAAAAAATATATCAGTTTTCCTGAGTATAAGTAATTTGTGTATAGTAAAATATTAAAAGTATGCAGAATAATATTTTTCCTCTCTTTTTTGAACAGCAAAACTTAGAGAGTAACCTCACCAACCTTATTAAGAGGAACACGGAACTGGAGACCCTTTTGGCTAAACTTATTCAAACCTGTCAACATGTTGAGGTGAGTAGCTCTGTGTAGTGTGTTTCATATGAAAACTCCTAGGCCACGGTTTTTATACCCTCAACCTTTATATTTTTAAAACTGGAATCTTCTTAAAATTAGATCTTTTGCAGAAGCTAAATCTATAAGATGGATGAAATTGGAAGGAACTAGAACCTCAAAGACTCTCTTCCCATCAACTGCTTTGTCCTGCCCCCTGCTCCCATCACAGCATTCCCTGATCCCTCTTTATTTTACTTAACATTCCTAATATTGTAGATTCTAATCAACCTTATAAAGATCAGCCAAGAAAAGGCACTGTTTAAAAGGCACTGTATTGGCTGCTGTAACAGATAACCACCAACTTGGATGGCATAAAACAACAGAAATTTATCCCACAGTCTGAAGGCCTGGCCGCACTCCCTCTAAAGGCCCTAGGGGAGGATCCTTCCTGCCTCTTCCCACTTTCTAGTGGTTTTTGTAGCTGCAGCAGTCTAATCTGCTTCTTTCATCACATGGCCTTCTCCCTGTGTGTCTCTGTATCTGTGTTCAAATATCCTTCTTACAAGGACACTAGTCATTGGATTAGGGACCACCCTACTCCAGTACGAACTCACTTTAACTTGAGTACCCTGTTTCCAAATACGGTCATATTCACAAATACCAGGCATTGTACCTTGGGCATATCTTTGGGGGAACACAATTCAGCACACTACAGGTGTGTATTAAATGCATCTTGGTTGTCAGATAGGTTTCCATGAAATTGACCACAATTGTGGCTTGTTGGGATTAAGTCAAGAGTGTGTAGGCAGCAGTGACAGCAAGGGCAAGTTGCAGAACTCAGATCTTTCTGACCCTCTGCTTAGATGGATTTGCTTTTGGCAAGAATCTCTCCAGGGAACACTTTGAGCCTTGTTGATTAAACAACATTGTAAATAATAGTGAACAAGCATAATGCTTTCATTATTGTAGGGTAAAGTGAATATGTATTATAGGACTAGATGGATGAACAAAATGGAGTTACCCCAGTGTTATATCTTATTTTTATGATGTGATGGCATTTGATGTTTAGTACAATAAGAAAGAATTATTTCTCTTCAGTAAAAAAAGTTACCTGTGTTTTATGGGGAAATCTTACAAATGCTTTATGGGTTGGGTGATTATTTCATTCAGTTTTAGCTAGTTCCTTCTTAAAGCACTAGTGTCTGGTTTCCATTATGGTCTGTAGTCATTTCAGAACAACTGTCTTGTTCCTAATGCAATATATTAGTATGGCTTGAATTTACAAAATGCTATTCATCCTAACATGTAAAATTACATTCTATAATGTTCAACAATTTCAAATGAAAGATAGATGTGTCATTCAAGAAATTTATAAGCAGATCTCATTTTTATTTCAAAAGATTAGAGATTTAGTTGAGAAATAAGCTTTTAAAATAAAGCTATTACTGAATTGATTGTAGCAGACTTGCAAATAGACACATACAAGCTATTAGAAGTTATTCTGGACAAGGACTAAAGAATATCCATTCCTTTCACTGTTGTTTCTGTATACATCCTTTGGAATAGAAATAAATGTTTGTGGGTGAGTAAATTTGGTATTTGGAAAATTTATTCTAGATAAAAATTAAAGAAACTTAATTATGAGTAGAAAAAGTATGGTACTAGCAGTAGCTATTTTTACATGTTCCCTTAGTCATAATTATTAATATTCTCAAAGTATAATTTTCAAAAAATTGAGCATCTAATTCTCACATAATAATGAAATGACAAAGCAAGTAGTTCATTCTATAGAAACAGAAGATGTGTTGGGGGGTGGTATAAGTAGAAACTGGCTTTGGAGAGATGAGAGCTGGATGGACTTTATTATTGCTTCTAAGTTTGAACTTTATTTGATCTTGAAGTGTTAGTGAGGGTTCAAAGAACACAAGGACCTGTGTAACTTTCACAGTTACAATCAGCATCCCTAACTTTTCAGGAAATATTTTTGGTTATTGGGAATATAATGTGGATATCTTGGTGCAAAAGGATCACATGTCCAAGGGAAAACATCACACCACTACTAAACTCCAACAGGTTAGTGGCATTTTTAAGCACCAGCATGATAGCCTTTTGAATCGGCATAGTGGAAAAGAATTTCCTGGTTCACATCCCATGTTCCTAGACTGTATTTCTTCCTTTTCCTCTTCCTGAAGGTGTCCTTGTGTTTTAGTCCAAGTTCTCCTCAGGAAAATAATCCCCATGCCAGCTGGAGCTAAAAAACTCAAAGCTCAGAGGCAACTCTCAATTGTTGTAAATGAAATCAATGAGTTCCCACGGAATCCTGAGGAAATGCCACATCCTTATAAGTCCACACCTCCTTCCTGGGATTCACTCTGCTTTTCTTTAAAATGAAAAGAGTTTGAAGGTCTCCCCCATCCCCATTGTTTTTATAACTTGTTTTTAAAATAGAATAAGCAAATGAAATAGTTGTTTTGATAGTAAGCATCAAATCTTTTTAAAAGTAGAGTATGGAGGGTATGGAGGCCAGGTCAGCTTAGGAGGTTGAGGCATCGAAAGAGCAGCGTCAGCTACACGCCCAAGAAACGTTTGTGCGGTCGGGCAGCTAAGATTCGAAAACCTGCTGGATTTTTAGGCACTGGGTTTTGTTTTCTTCAGGAGAGAAATACAATAGAAAATTCCACTGGGATGAGTTTGAAGTCAGTTATATATGGGGTGTAGGACAAGCCTATGGGAAGCGATTAAAATTTGGGTCAGCTGTAAAACTTAACATTTCTAGGTCAAATATGCATGTTTTCTCTTCATCATCTCATCCTTTTCTTTTAAAAATCAGAGGACCTACTTCATTAGTTAAGCAAATACTTAGAATCACTGATGTGTACCAAATTCTTCACACATTCTGAGAACCAATTTCTTTCACAGGGAATACAACACCTGGGCACACTATAGATGTTCATTTTGGGAATTACTGGTGGCCAGTGACTAAATCCACAGAGATGATAAAGAAAAACTACAAAAGGGTGATAAATGTCATAGTAGTTTGGAGATGATAAAGGCTTACCTGACCTCACCGTCCTTGCCCAGGCTCAACCTGGAAAGTTGTCCTCTAAACCAGCATCCCATCAAAGTCCTGGCATTGGCCCCTTTGCCTTTTTTGCCTTGTTTGTAATAACTTTTTTTAAAAAATTCCTTTTTCTATTGTTTTCACACTAAATTTTTAAACTATTTCTTAAATTTTAATAGAAATCTTGCTCTCTTATTGGCTTTCTCGGAGTTTTTCCAGTGCTAGGTGACATGTGGAATGACAAATTTCTTGTAGGTAAATTAAGTGCCATTTAATTTGATTTTTGTTCAGATGTTGACCTCTCTAAATTGAAAGGGAAGATGGTGATGTGTTATAATGCCTTGTAAGAAATGGTGAAAATTGACTTGGGAAAACAGATGAGGTCTCTAAAAGACTTTTTCAGGCATTCACTAAGCCCTAAAGGCATTCAGTTGTACACTTTGAAATAAGGGGGGAAATCGCTGGGAAGATGAACTTCCATGTTCAATTTTGTTGTGCAATTTTATGTTAAAGCACTTTCTCTCTCTGGAAACCTTGGCAATTGCTTCATCTAGATCCACTGGATTCGGACCAGCATCTGAACACCAGACATGCTGTTTGTGTCTTGTGGACAGGTGTCTGATCTTGGATGATGTGTCTCTTGCTAGGAGCCAACTTGAATATCCAAAGTCGTAATCCATTTTCACTTGCAGATAAGGGTTAGATTCCTACACCATCTGAACCCTTGTGAGAAAGCTCTCAAGGTGTAATTTGAGTCAGATTCTAGGCCTCACTAAGCTACATCAATACACAGTCATCCATGGCTCTCCATGTAAACAGCTCTGGGATAATGATAATGCAGTGGTGCAAATATGATGGCACCCAGAAACTAGGTTGTGATGAGCCACTGTGATAAAGGCTGATCTCCCAAGGTCAAGTCTTATGATTCCCAAGACAAAGGAGAAAAAGAGCTCTCAGCTGCACAGAAATTCATCGTCTCTGGAGAAAATTCATGTTTTGCCTCCTGCATGTGTAAAAGGGCTGTGTATCCAGTTTACTCCAAATTTGCTAAAATTGACAATTCATGAAACAAATTTAGCTTTGCCCAGGGGAAATGAAATTTACTGTTTATTAAAGTAATCTGTAGCACATACTTCAATGTCTCTCCTTAGATTCAGTGCTCTTGTCTTAAAAAAAAAATTGACTTATAAAGGATGTTGGGACCTGTTACCTTCTTAATTATATTCATGAGAAATAATGAGAAGACATCAGTAGAAAGTCTTCCAGTATTTTTGAATAAGAAATTAATCTATGAATGAATGAATGGATGAATGCATGAATATAAGGCTAAGTTAGTTTAGTCTTACTTTCAAAATAACATTCCCAAGTTTCAGCTTTGAAACTTTTCCCAAAAACATGATCCAACCTTTCACTATCTGCTAATCTGTCCATTTTGGATGGAATGACTATTGTGTCATATTCAGAATTCTACCAGGTGGCTCGGATTGGAGTATTATCGCATGTATGTGCCTCTGAAGACAGTCCCCCTGACATATTTGAATTTAGTAATGCAGATTTCCAAGGCTAATGCTCAGATGTGAAATAATCAGCCTTAATTGGGGGCCCAGTGGATGAGCAATAGGAATGAAGAGAGAAGATATGGTTTTAGTGATGTATTTTAATGTGGTTTCTTCACATAGTACAAGAATTCTTTATCACATCACCCCTACACTGTTCCACACACAATTTCCTTGCCTTGAAGTATTTAGATGCTTGACTAGAGCAGCAGGGATGATGTTTCTGGCACGATATAAAGAATAATAAGAACAGGTTGTTTTAAAAATGGCCATTGTAGTTCTAACTCAGCTTTCACATGAGATTATGGTTAGTTGGGTGGATCCAGTTGAGAGAGTCAGAGAGGTACAAGAGGAATAATCCCAGGTGAGAAGGTGACTATCAGGTAGAAGATTGGGTCCCA